TCGAGATACAGAGAAAATTGTTTTGGCATGTCAGAGCCTTATTTGGTTAGCAGACTGCATGTATGCGTACTTTTTTTAAAAGCCAATTATTTTGATGCCCTTCAAAAGAAATTCCATTCATTAGATAAATCTGAAAAATCCATAATGAGATAGGAGTTATAAAAAATTTATAGTGATATTAATCTTTCCATATTTCCCATTAAGCAACATTAAGCATTCATACATGGATCCAAGGTAATTAGGGACTTTTTCTCTGAAACTTTCTAATAGGGTGGTTTTCCAGCAAATGGCATTCCCAAGGTAAAGCTATTGTGTTTGAACTCATTTCCCTTCTTTGGTATTAGGTTATGTATGTGTGTTTGTTTTTTTAAATTGAGAGCTGACAGTTGCTTACGAAGTTTTCTTATGGCAAAAATAATGTAAATAATTTACTATCATCTGCATTTTGCCAAGAACTCATTTATTATTAAGGTTATCATTTATTAATAACAATTTTTCTGTTTTTGTCCTTTATAATATTACATTAAAGTTGGTAACTGTTATTGGTACTTTTGAAATATTTGTATGCATTTGTTACTTTTAAACATTTGAAAGAAGCACAACAAAGTAGATTTAGTTAACCCAGGGGAACATCAATTTTTTAGTAGCTCCAATTTTATATCACAGTTTTATTTTCTTATGAAATCCAAAAAAGTGCATTGATACTCATTAATGCAAATTCATCATTTAACATAAATTTCAGAATAATCTTTTGGTCTGAAATGAGAAAGATATTGACTTATTATTTATTTTAACAGTGTACTTCTTAGGCTTTCTTTACCAGCTCTAAAGAACTTTTTGGAATAATTCCATATTACATGGTGTATGGTTTCTGAACTGTATGTTTAATCACTAAACCAGTAGCCATGAGAAAAGTCAGTCTCTATCTCTCTGGTAGGCCAGTAAGTAGCAGCATTGTGTTCATAGTCTACTTTCCAAAAGACCATCAGTAAAAAAGAGAGCATGTTTAGTTGACCAGAAATTGAAATGGAAGTTAGAGAATTTGAACTTATTTAACTCAGTGCCACCATTAACTAAGGCTTTGCTGTAAAAAGTTAAATCAAACTTTGCTGTAAAAAGTTTGAAACTCTTGGATGAAAGGTGTTATGGAAATCTGAACACAAAGGATTCTTATTAAAATACAAATATTGCACAACAGACATATTTAAAACCTATTCTCTAGACTTTGAAAGATCTCTCTCCATAATGATTCCCTGGATTCAAGTATCAAATTATAATGGGCATCATGACAGTCTAGAGACCCTTGGATATAAAAATGTAAATTCATTTTTAGGTGGATAAATCTGAAGTAAATGTAGAAATTATGTTTTAACTAAATACAGTAAGTGGGTAACTTAGATTTATATTAACTAGCATCTAATTTGCACAACTAGGACACATCCCAGGACAATTACTGAAAGTTGAAATTTAATGAGTGTGAGATGGCCCAGTGAGGGTGAATGATATATATCACAGCTTGACCTCTCCAGGATACTAAAATCCTAAAATAGAGAACTTGCTGAGTTAGGGAGAAAATGCTGAAGGACATTTCTTCAAGTAGAAAATGCTGAATGATGCCCTGTAAAATACTGAATCAGTAGGCTGACCCAAGAAAGGACAATCAAGAGAAAACCTTCAGACTGCAAAAATATGAATAATCTCAATTATATTCATCACCTTTTCCATACTATTTCAAGAAAGGACTAATAATAACCACAGGAATATTTTGCTTTCTCCAAAAGATACCTTCAGAAGCAAACTTTGTAGGAAGTACACTTTTACCTTAAATTTCTTTTGCTAAAAAAGAAAGCCAACTGGATATGCTTTCAATTATCTGGCTGTATTCTAAATCAACACGCTAAGGAAAACTGAAGAAATCAATATACAGGGTAATAGCTTCAGTCTGGAGCTCCAATAACATGCTTTGGATCTGGCCATGTGGAAATGTTTTGGTCCAAATTTGTGAATTGGTGCTTACCAAAGAGTTCATGAAAACAGATTTGTATGTAGCACCTTTCATGCAAGGCATGCTAAGAACCTATTTAAAAATCACTGTGCATATTACAGAATTGCAGCCACCTCACAAATGAAGTACCATAGGCTGTACTGTCTTAACAGTTTATGTCAGGAAGTGAAAAAGATACTGTACCAAATCTGGAATTATAATGGGGAGTGATAATGTATGCTAAATGACTTGTATTTTAAGTTTCTTTTTATGAGAAAAGTGGTGAATTTTTGTTTTTTTCTTTTCAGCTACACCTAGTCCTGAGATGTATTTTTTCCTTTAAGCATTGAATGAATAATGTGAAAGGAGCCCACTTTATAATATAAGCCACAATGTACATGTTGAGATATTTGGACAATGAAAATGCCTTAAATGGAATGCTTATGGATAAAGTTGCACTTATAACACCCTTCCAAAAAACCTGATTTTAAATTGTCTTTTTCTTTTCTACTAAGGGCTCTCTTTTTCAATGTTTGCCACTGTACTTATAACTGTAATTAAATATTAAATCAAATAATATAAATGCTGTAACATTTCCTTTAAAACTAATGCTAATGAGGAATTTGAAGTTCAGTGGCAAAATAATTATTATTTGGCATTACCTAATATCAGCCACAGTAATCCAACTCATGACAAAGAGACACATTGGTTGGTTTGTTTTGTCTTTTAAAAAACATTTTCATTTTAGTCTGTTTCTCTTTAAAAAATTAAGTTGAATTAATACTCTTATCAAACTGATATAAAATGAAATAAAAAGAGAGATGATTTTTATAACAAGTGTTCTTATAATCACTTAAAAAATTATAATTTTAATCAAGTGTTATTCTTTCATCCCTTTCCCTTTGCCCTGGAGAACTATTTTCGAACATAACCCATAACCATTTGGGGGGTATTAGAGGCCTGGTGAGAGTCAGTCTGTTAGTTCTATCAGTCGCAAAATAGATTTAAATACAGCCTAATAAGTTGTACAAATTAACCTTTCATTTTCACTTATACATTTTGGGAATCAGAATATTACTTTTTTTTTTTTTTTTGGCAGCTGGCCATTATTGGGATGTGAACCCTTGACAATGGGTTTATAACACAACATTCTAACCAACTGAGCTAACTAGCCAGCCCTTGGGAAGCAGAACATTAAAGACAGCAACTGGCCTTGGGCAAGCCTCTCTTTCTGAGCCTATTTTCACCCATAATGTAGGGAGGCAGTTAGACCAGATATCTAAGATATTTAATTTTTATGATTCTATTCATTACTATACCTTCATTTTATATGCAAAGCAACCTAAAATTTCCTCTTTGTCTTAGAGTTTTTGCCTTTAGAGTAGGCAAAAACTAACATGGGACTGTCATTACTTTTATCTTGCCTTTTAGTAACACAAGTTGGTGCAAACAGACCATACAATATTTCTATCAGATCAAACCTAGGAAAATATGGTTCTTTTAAGAATATCCCATTTGATTGTACTAGAGGAAAATATGAGAATTTTCATGACTGCAAGAGAAATTTTTGTAGTCTAGCATGTCAGATTGTCGAGGAGTGAAGGTTTGTTTAAATCTAAGTGAGGTGAGGGCTAGCCAGTTAGCTCAGTTGGTTAGAACAGTGTTATCAGCACCACACTCTCCCAAGTGAGCCACAGGCTGGCCCCATAGAACACAGTGTTATAACACCAAGGTCAAGGGTTCAGATCCCCATACTAGCCAGACACCGCCCCCCCCCCAAAAAAATCCAAGTTATGTGAAAAGTTTTCTCACTCTTCCAATGTTTTTGAACTAGCTTCTATACGAGAACTGACTACATTTTCCTGGGTTTTTATATTGTTTCAGATACCATAATTGAAAGGGGATAAGTAAAATTTAATATAACCTAGAGGACAGAAGAAACTTGAACAAATATGTTCACATTTCTTTTTTTTGTTGTTTTTTGTTTTTGTTTTTAAGTGGCTTTAATACACAACAGAGAAAAATCAAATGCTGCCAAGATACATATAATACACATCTTAATATAATATATATATCTTAAGAGATAAGAGTTTAATGGTAATAGGTGCCTCACAAGTCCAAGAACCTGGACAGAAAGTTTTAAAACAATATGTTCACATTTCTAACCTCTGAGCAAAGACTAAACAAATCCTTTTTAATGGCATAATGTATATTCCGTTACTGTTAAAATGTAATTTTAATGGTATGATGATTATTACCTTACATTTTCCATCCCTAGTTTTCAGTGTTTCTCTAGATTAAAACTTTGTAAAGATATATTTTTTTATAGATTGGGAGAGTGTGGTGCTGATGACACCAAGGTCAAGGGGTTTGGATTCCCATACTGGCCAGCTGCAAAAAAAAAATAATAATAATAATAATAAACAACATCCAACAATGGAAAGTTTTTACTCTTTGCTTCTATGTTTGTTTTCATTAACTTGCTGGGGAATTCTTATTCCTTAATCCCCATTTCCGAAAAGTAACCACTACCAACAATTTAATATATTACTATATTCCTTTTGATTTTTTTCCCATATTATATATACTGTCATATGTATAACTTTATACATACTGTCTTGCAGCTTGCTGCTTTTTAACACTGTAAAGATGTAAGCTAGTTAATCTTACTAGCTAATTATTCTAGGGCTGGCCAGTTAGCTCTGTTGGTTAAAGGCCAGTATTGGTAATACCAAGGTCAAGGGTTTGGATCCCTGTGCTGGCCATCTGCCAAAGAAAAAAGGATAAGAAGTATTCTTAGTTGTTGAAGGCATTCTTGAAATGAGTAATTGTCGTGGGTGATGGGGGACAGAATCTCTGAGCTGACTAAAACTACTTCAATACTAGTACATCTTTTTAAAAAAGAGCTCTTTTATGATAAAATATTCCTCTTAAAGTGATTTAGATAGTCCCAAACCAAGGGTAGTAAATATTCTTATCACTTTCAATGCTTTTTATAAATTACAAATAGGAAAAATAGCTTTCAAAAATAAATTTATTCTAAACACTAGCCCAGTTAGTTGTTTTTATCATTAGTTGTTTTTATCAAAATTTAGTATTATGGGATCATGTCCTGTCTTCTTCACAAATGTGAGAAAATCTTCAGGGCTCAATCCCATGGTTGCAGCATTGGTCATTGGATGGAAGTATACCTTTTCATGTCCACCTTCCAGAAAAGCAGAATCCAGGACAAATTTCACATCTCCATCATCACAGAAGAGTGCCAAGGGTGTGGCACAGCCTTGGCCAACTTTTAGTTTTTCTAGCATGGCTGTTTCATCAGCAAACCGCAGATTTCCACTCCCAACACCTAACTGCTTGGCAAGCTCATTTAAATTAATATGTCTATCATGAAGAACTGTCACCAGCCAATAGCTTTTTTTCTTTTTGTCTTTAAGAAATAAGTTCTTACTATGTGCTCCCTTCAAATGTTGGATGTGAGGCATCATTTCTTCAACTGTAAACACCTATAAAATATCACATAATGAGAAGTTTAAAAATGAATATGCACGTATACACATACACACACATTTATATGTATTTTGCTTGCTGGGTGAAAACAGCAGCGTTAAGGAGTACTCATTGCCCTGAATTTCACTAGTGTAGACCCATTTCCAGCCTATTACCAAGTAATTACAAAGCCTTGCCATCTTAATTCCTTATCTCAAGACTTCAGGCAGTTTCTCTTAGGCCAGTTTTCTATTCCCGTGTCCTGGGCAAGCCCTCACATTCCTAAAAAGCTTTATTTCTAACTTTAAACTTTTGCTACTAAAAGTTTACAGCAGTCCTAGATTCCTATTCTTTAGCATTCCATTACAATCCAGACCATGGGACAGCCTCCACTCTACAAATATGTCACCACAAGGAGGATGAGAGGACAGGGAATAAGACTCTGGACTAACAAAGAACATCAGAAAAGCTGACGATATGCACCAGTAAAGAAGGGGGATAGGACTGGCCATTTAGCTCAATTTGTTAGAAAGCGATGATAAAACACCAAGGTCAAGCGTTCGGATCCCCGCACCAGCCAGCTGCCCCAAAAAAGGGGAGGAGTATGTGACTATATGGGAGGGAGAAAGGTCAGAAAAAAATACAGTTTTGATGTCAAATTTGTAAAGATTAGAAATGTATTTCTTGTAATGTATTTATTTTACTCTTTGAAGATCACAATATTTAACCATTATCAACTGTCACTGAAGCCCTGGGCAAATTTTACGTCCCCGCGCTACTCAAGCTACACGAAGCTTCCGGGAAATATTTGCAAGTAAATCCTCAATACACTAGACCATGTTAAAGTTTATGAAAAAACAGGGATGTAGATTTCTGTAGCAATTTGGGGGGGGGGGGGGATTTCCACCATGCTGCAAAAGTGCAATGAATGTTTTGTGACCACAGTGACCAAGTTGGCAAAACAAACTCTGAACTTCGATGCCGTGCTGTAATATGTACGTACGTATGGTGCCTGATACACCGCAGCCACTGAACCGACGGTTTACTGCTTGGTAACTTATTTTATCTACATATAAAGTGGACAAACTGACCAACATCCCAGACAGGTTTAAGATGCACAAGATCTCCATATGTTGCACTAGTTCTCAACATGGAATGTAATCAAACCATTCCAAGAGGAAAACATAAGTTTCCTCACCATAACCTCATAGTCCCAACGCAAGAGGACTTCGCGGTTCCTGTCGGGTTCCTTCCGCACTCTGGACCCGGGAAATGCTCTAAAGCGACGTTTCTCCACTACATTACCCCGGGACACCTGGTCTTAGCGGCCTCACCGGATGGACGCTTCAGCGGAGCCCACCCCCTCCGACCGGGGCTGTCCCGGCGGTTACCCCCAGGGCGGGCGCCTCACCTCCGGGTGCTCCACGACCTCCGTGCGGATGGCTAGGGCGCCGAGCCGCTGCTCAAGCGCAGCCCGTAGCTCGGCTCTCGCCATGCTGCCGTCGTGGCAGCCTGAGGCGGAAGTGTCTGGAGGGCCCGAGGCCGAGACCGGAAGCCCACTGCCGCCGCCTGCGGGAGGAGGGACCGCGCCGACGCGATGGGCCTCCCCCGGCGCATCCCTGGACGGCGTCGGCTGAGGCGCGGGCGCGGGCTCAGGCTGGTGCGTAACTGCGGGCGTTCTTTGCCGCCGTCCCTCGGGGGCCAGGTGCCTGCTTTATCACAGCCTTCTCTGACCCCGCTTCAGGTTTTCTGGGTCCACCATATCTTCCCTTTAATCAAAGCCGCGTGGCAACGGACGGACGTAAGGACTGTGGAGGGGGTCAAGATCCCTATCTTTTTTCTTTTGTGACCGGCTGCACCGCGCTCAGCCAGTGAGCGCACCTGCCATCCCTATATAGGATCCGAACCCTCGGTGGGGAGCTCCGCTGCGCTCCCAGCACCGCACTCTCCCGAGTGCACCACGGGGTCGGCCCCAAGATCCCTATCTTCTAAGACTTTTCAACTTTCATTTGTAAATTATAATTTTACATTTCATCTTTTCTGATAGGTTTTGTTATTAATCTAGGAATAATTGGCTGTGTGAGCCATGATTCACCTTTTTCCGAGATACTTTGACATCCCTCACCACTTAAGTGAGGCCTGAAATTCCCCGTTAGGGTTTCATTTATGAATTTAGATTAAGGCTGAAATCCCACATAAACGTAGAAATACCTAGGGACGTTTAACCTTAGTGTGAATGAGTTTGGGTCATTTCTAGGGTACAAATTGAAGGCCTGAAGATGGAAGCCTCTTAAGACATAGCAGTGTCTTGAGCCCTTACTCGCAGCCTTGGAGGAAGCTGTAAAAGAGGAATTCAGAGTTGACTTCACCCAGAATTGGCCCTGGATAGAACAGTTTTAAAACTTCTCAGCTTTTAACCCCCTCTTGAATGATTAAACCATATTTCCCTTCAAAGACTCCAGCTAGTTCTTTGATCTCCAATTATAGAACCAACAATAGGCCTCTTCCCATAGCCTCCTAAATTCAGGTTATCAAAAGCCATACAGCATATTACACACTGTTTAGAAAATGGAAAAGTGGGAAAGGATCACTCAGAATCTCAGTGTTCATGCAGTGTATTGCAATTTTGTTGTATCTTTCCAGTCTTTGTTTCTTTTTATTCTTGATATTTTGGTTATAAATAATGAGTTTTTCAGATAGTTAAAACCCTCATACACAATTTTATATCCTGTCTTTTAAAAATTATAAGCATTTTCCTCTGTTGCTACACTGTCTTCCCATTTTAATAAAGATATCATGTAGCGGATTATAATTTTCTTAACCATTTCCATATTTGTGGACATCCTTATCATTTATGATATTCTAAATTGCTTTCTAAAATAATTATTCTAATGCTTTAATAGCAGTGTATGAATTAACCCATATTACTATGTTTGGTGCGTAACTGCGGGCGTTCTTTGCCGCCGTCCCTCGGGGGCCAGGTGCCTGCTTTATCACAGCCTTCTCTGACCCCGCTTCAGGTTTTCTGGGTCCACCATATCTTCCCTTTAATCAAAGCCGCGTGGCAACGGACGGACGTAAGGACTGTGGAGGGGGTCAAGATCCCTATCTTTTTTCTTTTGTGACCGGCTGCACCGCGCTCAGCCAGTGAGCGCACCTGCCATCCCTATATAGGATCCGAACCCTCGGTGGGGAGCTCCGCTGCGCTCCCAGCACCGCACTCTCCCGAGTGCACCACGGGGTCGGCCCCAAGATCCCTATCTTCTAAGACTTTTCAACTTTCATTTGTAAATTATAATTTTACATTTCATCTTTTCTGATAGGTTTTGTTATTAATCTAGGAATAATTGGCTGTGTGAGCCATGATTCACCTTTTTCCGAGATACTTTGACATCCCTCACCACTTAAGTGAGGCCTGAAATTCCCCGTTAGGGTTTCATTTATGAATTTAGATTAAGGCTGAAATCCCACATAAACGTAGAAATACCTAGGGACGTTTAACCTTAGTGTGAATGAGTTTGGGTCATTTCTAGGGTACAAATTGAAGGCCTGAAGATGGAAGCCTCTTAAGACATAGCAGTGTCTTGAGCCCTTACTCGCAGCCTTGGAGGAAGCTGTAAAAGAGGAATTCAGAGTTGACTTCACCCAGAATTGGCCCTGGATAGAACAGTTTTAAAACTTCTCAGCTTTTAACCCCCTCTTGAATGATTAAACCATATTTCCCTTCAAAGACTCCAGCTAGTTCTTTGATCTCCAATTATAGAACCAACAATAGGCCTCTTCCCATAGCCTCCTAAATTCAGGTTATCAAAAGCCATACAGCATATTACACACTGTTTAGAAAATGGAAAAGTGGGAAAGGATCACTCAGAATCTCAGTGTTCATGCAGTGTATTGCAATTTTGTTGTATCTTTCCAGTCTTTGTTTCTTTTTATTCTTGATATTTTGGTTATAAATAATGAGTTTTTCAGATAGTTAAAACCCTCATACACAATTTTATATCCTGTCTTTTAAAAATTATAAGCATTTTCCTCTGTTGCTACACTGTCTTCCCATTTTAATAAAGATATCATGTAGCGGATTATAATTTTCTTAACCATTTCCATATTTGTGGACATCCTTATCATTTATGATATTCTAAATTGCTTTCTAAAATAATTATTCTAATGCTTTAATAGCAGTGTATGAATTAACCCATATTACTATGTTTTTGCAAAAATTTTCAGAATATATGTATTTTTTTAATTTGCAAACTTAACAGACAAAAGGGGTGCCTTATTGTTTAACATGCATTTTTCTGATTATCAGGGGCCTGGATATTTTTCCAGTTTATTACTTTATTTCCCTGTTTATGCACTAGCTTTGTTTATGCCGTGGCTCATTTAGCCACTGAAATATTAATGGCTTTCACACTGATATATATGGGATCTTCATATGCTCAAATTATGTGCCTTTTGTCATTTATTCTCCAAATAGTCTTTCTTTCTTTGTTTCTTTAGTTTTATCTACAGAATCTACTCACTTTTATGTAGCCAAATGTCATTCCTTCCTTTTTAAGTTATTCTGATCTAACTTTAGAAAGTTAACCTACAGCAACAGATTAATAGTCAATCTATTATCTATTTTATTTTAAAAAGAATATTCAATTCGTTAATTCATTTAAAATTTACTTTGGCATATAAGGTGTGGTAGGGCTCACTTTTTCCAATAGGTTTCCCTCTAAGAATGAAATTAGAATAGCAAAGGTCACCCATTTGAAGAAATGGCATATTCCAGTGACTATCCTTAAATGTTTGGAGCTTTTCAAAAATACTCAAATTCAATCATGATGACCTGGGAGTGATAAGGAGAAAGAGGAATTGGAGTCTGAATGTAACTAAGAAAATGTAAATTATGTCCCAAAGTAGGAAAACATTAACCAAGGATAGGATCTCCATGACAGCTACAAAAGAGGAACACAATGAGGAAAAAAAAATGAGTGGCATCCAGAGCATTGTCCAGGCAATAGGGCATTCTGACCTAGAAATCTCTGGAAATGAACTGTATCCATGAATTACATAAACCATGAATCTCTCCTGCCTCTCCCCCCAGCCTCATAGCTAATCCATCACAGTTTAATTTCTTAAATTCTTTCACTTCTCATCACCTTCATCACCCTAGCCCAAACTACTACCATTTCCACCTTGGTCTACACCAATAGTCTACCTGTGATTGGAATGACCAAGTATCCTGCACTGAGAGTCTTACAACCAAAGATTTCTTTACATATAAAATAGAACTAAATCTGTCTATGGTCAAAGAACTTTATATCACTGTTCAAAAACCTATATCCTAACTCAGGCTTAATGCAATATTTACTTATCAAACATATATGAGCATTGTATTAAATATAAAAGAAATGCTGTCCTTGGCATGTTCCTTCATTCTCAAAGCAGATGCAATCTCAAATTTACATTGGAAACAACATGAAACAGGTTAAATTTAAAATTATCCAGAGAGGGTTGGCTGGTTAGCTCACTTTGTTAGAGCCCCACCTTGTAACACTAAGGTCAAGAGTTTGGATCTCCTTACCAGCCAGCGGCCAAAAAACCAATAATAATAATAAAATAATTTTATTTAAAAAAAATAAAATAAAATTACCCAGAGTGAATTTGAGGAAATACTTACCTAATCACAGAACTTGACTGTGAAATCTCATGATTCTAGGGAGGGGCAGCATCTGATAAATGCAGGTTGCCAAGTTATTTTATAAACAAGGGAACACTTAATAAGTAAGAAGTCTTGTGGCATTCCTACAAGAACACATTGAAAGAAAGACTTTTGTTCTCGTTAGGAAGAGTGTGGTTACTTAGCAGATAAGGACAGAATCTGGAATGGAGAGCTGAAAGATGGAGTTATATACTAGGGTCCGTGAAACAAAGGACCCTAATTTTATGTCTGCTCAAAGTGAGGAAACAGCTACAAGCTGCCAAAGGAAATAAAAAGGCCAAAATTGTAAGGTATTTATTGTAAGATATTCTTCATTGCATTTATTAGGTGAAGAAAATTTGAAATCCCCACTGCTGGATGAAACAAAGGCAGTTCTAGGACAGGTAAGTTGAAAGCCATTCTAAGAAGCTGTGCATATCCAAACAGCAAGTGAGACAATAAGGAAAAAAAATGCTTGCTACAATCTGTGTCCTTCAACAAATCCTTTGGAGCAATCTCTATGTGCCAAGTGTACTGCGTGGTGCATCTATATGTACCATGGTTTAAAAGTATGTTTTCTTGCCTCAAAGACCTTAAAATCTAACACAGAGAACTAAAGCATTCACAGAAGATAGATTCTAGAAAATGTGCCTAGTGCAATGATAGTGGCATGAAGAGAAGAGCCCAGAGAAGGACCACTAAGACCAGATGGGGGTGGTACATCGGGAAGGCAGTCTGAAGGATAAGTAGAAGTTTGCAAGAAAAAAAAGTGGTCCAGCTGAGGAAACTCCAGGAACTGAGGGATGGAGATAAAATGGCATGATGTGTCCTG